ATCTATTATATATAAGAACATTACATAATGTTACATAAATAGACCAGAATGCCCCTGATTAGTGATGGGACACCTAGTCAAAATAAACACTAAATAAGATTAGGCCCAATAACTAAGGCCCAATAACTAATGACTTAAGACCCAACAAAGATAAACATACAAATTAAGACAGCCGAACCAACAATCATTATTGCAAGTATAAATGTTTTAAATAAAAAATGTCCAGGGTTTGCTAAGGAGCCAATCGTCTATTTATCCCATCAAGAAAATCATAGGAATGTTCTTGGGTGGGCAGACTTGATGTATTTAAAAGGAGATCATATAGCACTTTCTTTTATTCAGATTTTCTCTTTTTGAAAAGCATTGTCATATAATGTATTTTTTTTTTTTTTTGTATATGCCCCAATGTACAGTTTTTTTATTTAATTTGTAGTTTTAGTATGAAAACAGACATGTGAGAAGAAGAAAAGAGAGAAGAGAGAGATGAGACAGAAGTTTTGGAGAGAATAGAATGAGAATGGCAGCTTCCAACTCATTATTTTATTAGGGTTACTAAACAAGAGATAAAAGGATAAAACTTCCCTCGCACCTAAAAGTAATAATATTACAACACTCCCCCTCAAGTTGGGTCATACATGTCAATCAACCCCCCTCCCCCCATTTTTGCTACGTAACTCATTATGGCACAAGGTATTAACACCCTTAGTAAGTAAATCAGCCAACTGATATTTATAATAAACATAAGGAGTACACAGTTCCCCCTTGTCAATCTTCTCCCTTATAAAATGCTTGTCAACCTCAATATGGTTTGTCCTATCATGCAACACGGGATTTACAGCTATATTAATGGATGCCTTGTTATTACAATAAAAACACGTAGGACCTTCTACACCAAAACCCAATTCTCTTAACAAATTCTTAATCCACAACACTTCAGCCACCCTATGTGCCATGGCACAATACTCGGCTTAGCACTAAATCTGGCCACTACAAACTGTTTTTTGCTTCTCCATGTCACCAAGTTACCTCCAATAAAGGTACAATAACCTGAAGTAGACCTATGGTCATCTGTGGATCCAACCCAGTTGGCATCAGTAAAGACTTGCATTTTCATATGGCCATGTTTAGAGAACAAGGCGGTTTTTCTTAGATGGTTCTTCAACTATTGAAGTACTCTCTCTATAATCAAGATTTGAATCCTTTTTGGAGAGTGCATATGAGATGCTGGCTCAAAACACTTACAACATAGGCAATGTCTAGCATGTCATAGACAAGTACAGTAGTCTTCTAACCAACCTCCGATACTATTCAACATCCGAGAGGGGTTCTCCCTCACTATCTCCAAGTCGACGATTCTTCTCAATGGGTGCGCCAGTTGGTTGGCTCCCATCTTGTTTGAATCATGTAACAGATCTAGGATATACTTCCTTTGGGAAATGAAGATATCCTTAGTGGAGTGGGCAACCTCAATTTCCTAGGAAGTATTGAAGGTGACTTAGATCTTTTACGGTTTTACCACAAATTGAGAGGCAAGAAATTCCTTGAGCTTCACTATCTCCTGCTCTAATTATGACTGTATCACCACTAGACCTGTTCATGAGTCGAGCCGTGTTGGGCTTTGCCTCTTTATAAACAGAAAATCACCAAGCCTGAGCCAGAGACCGGCCTGACCGTTGGGCCTAGATCGTGAGCTCGAGCCTGACCCTATATAAAGCCCGAAGCCCAACTTTGACATGTATTTTATAATATATTAATTATATATTATATATTATATAATATTTTATACATTTAATATATATAATACTTTTCGGCCTGCAAAATAGTTAGGCCTGAATTTGAGTCCAATCCCGAGCCTGCATGCTTAAAATTTTGTCCAAGCCCGACTTAGGACGGGCCGGGCTGGGCCAGCCCATTGGGCTACCCGGCCCATGGACAGGTTTAATTACCACAATCACTGTCTTCCACATGCCATTCATATCAGTCTGAACTCAAAAATTCAGAATACAACAACAATTTGGAAATCAGGGGAGAAAACTCATTGAGTGTTAGTCTATGCAAACTGCCAAAAATTTATTTCTTATTTGATTAATTTTGACCCAGTCTTAGAACATGTCAGCATATTTCTTATTTGAGTGTTAGTCAATGCTTCCAATTATTCTACCATGTTGACTTAAAAATAGCATTCTACCATGTGCTTTACCCTTCTGCATAGGCCTATGAAAGAATGATTTGATTGCCATTCCTTACAAGATCAATGTGTTTCCCTGGGTTACACGCACAGTGGGCTTGAAGTTGGGTCCTAGTTGTTTGCGGTTAGAGATAACTTTAACATTGTTCAGTTCCAGTCTTAATAAAACAATGTAATGAGCTTTATAAGATAGAAGACCCTTGGGTTACATGAAATGTTATTAAAATAGAATCATGTCAGTTGGGAAGACATCCTGTTTTTCTTGATTTTAAAATTTATGCTTTGGGTGAATACCGATTCAATAACGTCTGTGCAATGCACATATGCATGCACTTTTTTCTTGGGGGCGGGGAGTAAACTGCTAGTATGATTCCTCCTAGATTTTTGGAGATGGAATTAATTGTTCACCTTATTCAATGGTTCAATTTCCTTTTCTTTTTCTGAAGTCTTTTTCTGGTACTATGTATGATACTTGTTAGAGTTCAGGTTGTGTTGCACTGTTTAAGTCCCAAGACCTGATAAAGGAGTATAGTTGTACAAGGCTGGAATAAAACTTCTACTAACACTTTTTAACATGAATCCTGAATCTTGAAAGGTTGTTTTAGGTCCATTCTAGATTGTTCCCCAGAAGCCAACACATATAGTTGGGATAAGGCTTTTTGAGTTTTATTATACTCTACCAGATAATGGCTACAGTTTAGGGGCTGACTTTAACCAGTAGATTGACATTTTTGAACACTTGGTTAATATGGATTAGATATTCCCTTCATTCTAAAATGCCATTTTCTAACCTAATTATCTCATTTGAGAAGTTCTTTCTTATAAATTTGATGCCTAAAATTGCAGGCAGAAGATTGAGTCTTGAAAATCAGTATGCCCAAATAATTGCTACAACCAGGAAGAATGGCTTGAAGTGACTCTTGGAGTGGGGAATGATCTTTTTCAACTTTATCTCCCTCAATTGATGAAATTCCGGTGATGGTGAAACAGTTGAGAAAGGATATAGGTAAATGGAGGAAACTAGTAGCTTGGTTATAGAAATTTAATTGATTAGATTCCTTAGTTCTCTTTGGTACATTTAACTACAGATTTTGATGCTAATGTTGTAAGTTATGACTCCATTAATCTTGAACTTAATGTAGAAGAATCTGGAAATTCTAGTGGTAAAGAGAATTTTGGATCAGTATAAAAGCTGGTACAGCTTTGATACAACTAAGAGTATGCTTATCGTCCATTCCATCTCTTTCATGCATTTTTTGTTAAGGGGGGTTTCACAAGCTGCCGTGTCACAAATGTTTTTGACACAAGCTGTGTGAACCTCACGAAACGTGTTTGGGATTTTTGGCCTATTTGGTTTGGAGGTGGTTTTATGCCTGGAGGTGGATTCCAGATAAACAGGTAATGTTTATCCAATCCCGTTTGAAGCGAGTGAGGTGATAACCAACTCTTCTTACGTGGCGTCATGATCTGGGAAATTCAGAGGTGATAACCCGCTAAAGGGGGAGGTCACTCAACACGTCAAGCAGATCGTTAACCAAAGTCGAGTCAGATCAATGGAAGTAGGTTGCCTCTTACGCCGACTTGAGGTCTTGCTTGGTTGTTTGCAGTTCGGCCTTCTGGCGTGGTGTCAAGGTCGTCGAGGTGGTTGTTAAGTATTCGAAGTGCTCTTGGGGTCTGCTTATGTGGTGTCGAGATGTCATTTTACTGTTCTGTAATGTCACATGTCATGATATCATTGGAGGACCGAATTATCCCTCATCAATTGCCCCCACTCCCGAGTCTGGCGTGATCAATTCGGTGAGGGAATAGTATTAGCCCGAGGTGATTTGGTCCGACTTTCGTACTCAATCGTGATCTGACCAATGGCTCGGGATCGGGTTGGCTCGATCGGTTCAGCCTAGGCATGAGGTAGCATTCCGGGGATGCACGAATGCCATGCAACCATTAGGTTGCGCAGATGTAAAAGACACGTTAAACTAATTTTCCCTTGGAATACAAATTGCTGCGTCCTTGTGAACTGTTGGATCCAATTGATATTAATCGTCCATAGTTCGGTTCAACTATCTATAAATAGGACCCTCAAGGGCCCATTTCACTCGTCCCTAACCTTGGAGTTCTAGTGCACAGCGTGGTCGCGAAGGTTGGCATTGTTGAAGTCATCGGTGTAGTCGGTGAGGTCAGTCTATTCATTCTAGGTGAGTCATCTCCCCTTAATCCGTTCTTTGCTTTTATCATGTTGGGTGTTGAGTCCAGGGAAGAGAGGAGTCTGTCTTGCCAAGAACGACGATGTTTCAGTAAGGGAGTCTCATCTTCCCGTCGTCAACCTAAAAATAAATTCGAGTTTGGTCCCATCGAACTGGATGTTGAGGACATTTACGAGCTCGTAAACTGATATAGGATACTAGACCAGTTCAGATATTCCCTTCCCCTTGGGCAATTCCCGTGGGAGAATGAGGATGACAAGGTCACTATCTTCGAGGAGGCCTTGAAAGCGGGTCTTTAGTTCCCCCTTCAACCCCTTATTCCCAAGGTGTTGAACTATTATAATGTCAGCCTAGATCAGCTTCACTCCAATTCTATTAGGACTCTGGTTGGCACCATCTCCTTTTGTCACCACGTCAGTTTCCCTTTAGATGTCAAGACCTTCGTCAGCATATACCACATAAAGCGAAACCCCTCTACTACTCCCGAGATGTATAGCTACTACTTGTTCTACTGATTTGGGTGTAAATTGCTGCACGACTTCCCTTCCAAGGTACTATACTAGAAGATGAGGTATTTCTTTCTTGACTGGAGTGGTGGATGGTCATTCTCAACGGCTTGGAGAGTGAGGACTAGGGACTTTGGGGAGGATATGTTGAGTGAACGGATGCAAAATAGGGTGCAACTCTTAATGGACAGGAGATCGGAGCTGGGTGAATTCTTGGTCGAGGAGAAGTTGATTTAGGTCGGGCTGAGTCCTCTAGGTAGGTCGTACAAGAAACATGTTGGGTGTGCCAACTTCCGAGCTATTTTAAGCTAAGAGGAAGAAGAGGAAGGTGACTCCCCAGGAAGCTCCTCAAGTCATTACTTCTAAGCCCACTAGACGGAGTGTAGCTGAAGCCATGCCAATGGTTGACCTCGTTGAGGAAGAATGGCCAGAGGGGACCTCACTCAAACCTGAGGCCACCTGGACTTCCGAGGAGACCCTTCCACAGCTCAAGGTCAGGGCGACCAGTTTCGGACATCGAGGCCACTTCCAAGGAGAAGCACACCATCATAGACTTTCGGACTGCCCTAGTAAAGAGCAAGGAGCCCATTTTTCTAGAGGAGGTCACAGAGCTTCATGAATTGCGTCCCAGTGAACTAGGCAGGAAGCTTATGCATTGCCTCCTAGTGGTATGTACCCAACCTCTTTCTTCATACTTAGCTAAATTTTAGCATGCTATACACCGTTTCTTTTTCCTCATACAAACACCATGGCCCACGCACTGCTGGGGCAAGCCAAAAGGGGAGCTGCTAAAACCCAAGCTCTTGATGAAGAGGTGATAGATCCCTGACCTCGCCTATAACGAGTTAGCCATCTTGTCCATGACTTGAAAGCCAAGATTGTCCAGGAGCAAAGTCACAATGCCGACCTGGCGAGCACCATTGCGAAGTTGACTGACGAGCTAGAAGCCAAAGGCTGCGAGTCACGAGAGAAGGAAGCCGAGCTTGCTAAGTTTCAAGGGAAACTCCTTGCGTGCTGCTAAGATCCGAGTTATCGAGGACTTCAAGACTTTGCCTGACTTTTTGAAGGAGAGGGAGCAGTTCGGGACAAGCACCTTCCGTAAGGGTATCAAGCTATGCCAGATGCTGGTGGTCTCGGTGTGCCTTGACTTTGACCCGGCCAAGCTAAAGAGTTTAGTGTGCACCAACGAGATGATGACTCGGGTTGATCAGGAGCTTGACTCCGAGGAGGAAGACGAGGTCATCGGGGACATTAAGGGTGGCGCAAATGACGGAGCTAGTACTAGCAACAATGGAGTCAACGATGTGGGCGTTAAAGAGCCCAAAGACATTTGAACTTCTTGCCTTTTTCTTGAACCCCCTGTATATATGTTATACGCCGAGCCTCCAAACCTGGCAATCTTAGAAAGATCTACTTCTTTTTCATCTTTTTTTTTAGTAATGATGTACGATGTACTTTTTGCATTACTCAATGGAACTGACTTTTTTGCATATATTGTGCCCCTCTTTCTCGCCTTAGAGCTAAAAGCAATTTGGCTTCCCTTTTTTTTGTTTGATCAGGTCGTCGTAGCGGGTGGTCTATACTTTTGTTCTCGCAGACGCAACTCGAAACTTCCGAACTCCTCATAAGTAATATCTCCTTAAGTTATGAACATTCCATGCATGGGGTACTTGCCTCCCCTCCAACATTTTGAGCTCATGCATGCCTTCGTTGATCACCTTAAGTACTCTGTAGGAGCTTTCTCAGTTCAGACCTAGCTTTCATGCGTCGTGCTCAGGTACCATAACCTTCCTGAGTACCAGGTCGCCAACTCGAAATTGGTGTCTCTTAACTCAGGCATTGTAGTACCAAGCTACCCGTTGCTGGTATGTCGTAGTTCGAATGCAGGCTAAGTTATAGACCTCCTTCACTAGGTCGAGGTCAGTCTATAACTCGTCCTCGTTAGCCTCCTAGTCGTACGTCTCGGACCACAAGGTCGGCACTTCAATCTCGGTTGGGACGACAACCTCCGTCCCATACATCAAGTTGAAAGGAGTCTCGCTAGTCGCCGTCTTGATAGTAGTTTGGTACGCCTAGAGAACACTGGGCAACTCGTCCACCCATAAACTCTTAACTTGGGAAAGCCGAGCTTTTAGCCCACGAGGATTGCCCTGTTCGCCACTTTGGCCTGACTGTTCGCTTGGGGGTGGGCCACTGAAGTGAAGTTCTATTGGATTCCCAATCTTCCTACACCAGTTCTGGAACTTGATATCTTCAAACTGCTTCCCATTGTCTGATATCAACACCTTAGGAAGTCTGAATCTGTAGACGGTATTCCTCCAAAAGAAATGATGGACATTGCGAGCTGTGATAGATACCAACGACTCAGCTTCCACCCACTTGGTAAAATAGTTCACCATGACCACCAAGAACCTATTCTAACTGGTCGCAGGTGGGAAGGGACCAAGGATATCTATCCCCCACTATGCAAATGGCCACAGGTTCGTGAGGTGCCTCGTGTCGGCGGCAGGCTAATGTGGTTTGTTAGTGTGTCGCTAACGCTTGTCACACTTCTAAACTAACTCCACTGCGTTCGCCTTCATTGTGGGCCAGTAGTAGCCTTGTCTTACAGCTTTCTTGGCCAATGCCCAACCCCCCAAGTGTCCTCCGTAGAGACCTTCATGGATAGTACGTTGCACCTAGTTCGCTTCTGTTGGTCACAAGCAGTGCAAGTAGGGGGAGCTTGAACGACCTGCGATACAACTGCTCGCCAATGATAACATAGCGAGCTGACTACCGCTCTACCCTTAGAGCTATGTTGCGTTCTCCTGGTATGGTCCCGTGGTGTAGATAGCCAACGAGCAGGTCGATCTAAATCAGTTCAGTAGCGAAAACAAGAGCGACCTCTTTTGCCACCCTTTCTATGCTAGGTTGTGGTAGGTCATCAATGTAGATTGTTCTCCTCATGATGTTCGTTACATCGTCCAGCTTCGAGAGCGCATCGGCTTCAATGTTCTCAGACCTCGGAACTTGTTGGATGTACAAAGAGTGAAAGTCGGGCAGGAGCTCTCTAACCTTGGCCAGGTATGCCAACATGGCGGGCTCCCGAGCCTCATATTGCCCATTCACTTGGTTCACCACTAATTGGGAGTCGCTGCACACCGTGAAATGTTTCACATTGACCTCATTTGCCAACGATAGCCCAACCATCAAAGCCCCATACTCAGCTTTATTATTCAAAGCTCGGAACGCGAATCGGAGAGCATACTCCAGCTTTACTTCGCTAGGTCCATAGAGGAATAGCCCAGCTCCGCTTCCGCCCTGGTTGGACGAGCCATCCACATGAAGGATCCAGGGCTCCTCGTCTCAAGTCGAGTTAGGTGTTGCACTGGTAGATGCCTCCGAGATGGTAACGATTTTGACTACTTCAGGGGTCGACGTGCTGAACATGCACTTGGTGACGAAGTTTGCCACGACCTCGAGCTTTTGAAGGACTTGCCTCAGAAGTCGATCAGTCAGGACC